TGGAGGAGACACGGCATGCCGTGGTGCAGGCCTCCAAGCTGCCCATGTCCATCATTATCGTGGGGGTGGGCAACGCTGACTTTGCAGCCATGGAATTTCTGGATGGGGACAACCGGAGACTGCGCTCACACACAGGCGAGGAGGCCGCCCGCGACATCGTGCAGTTTGTGCCCTTCCGAGAGTTCCGCAATGTGAGTGTGGGCTCCCAGGCTGGGAAGGGCAGCGGCAGGGTCTGCCACAGAGCTCATGGTCCATGACAGGTCAGTCTCAGGTTCCTTCCCCTATACTGTTGGCTTCTGAGGGCCCATGACGAGCTAGGTGCTACTGTGTCACCCTTGGCCCAGAGGAGGCCATTGTGACACTCATTTCCACAAACTAGTGGTGGGGTTAGTCTGGGCTGCGCCTAGGGCCACTCATTTCAGATGGCCCTGACCCTCAGCCCTAAGGTTCTCCTCGACCCCCTGCTATCACAGCTCTAGGGCACAGCTCTAGCGAATCTCCCAACTTCTGCTCCTTAATCCTCCTCCTTTCCTTTTTTCTCCCCACCTGGACTCCACAGGCAGCAAAAGAAACTCTGGCCAAAGCGGTGTTGGCGGAGCTGCCTCAGCAAGTAGTGCAGTATTTCAAGCATAAAAACCTACCCCCCACCAACTCGGAGCCTGCCTGAGCCCATGCCCAGCAGCAGCATGCCAGCTGAGCCCCCAGCCTCCCCCAGGAACATGCACGTTCACCTTCCTCGTGGGTGGCCTTTTCTACCAGTCCACATTTTTATTTTTTACAACCGGACCTCCACCCCCAACTTCCCCCAGCCCAGCTGGGCTTCCTTTGTCAGAGTCAACTGATGATGCTTCCAGGACAAACCGGCTTCCTCTCCCCACCCTCCTGCCACTCCAAGTATTGAATGTACTTTGTATAATTTTAGTGGGATTATTGTTATTAAAGAGAATAAAATTTTTACAATCATAACTGGCTTTTCCTAAGTCACCAGCTGCGATGAGGAACTTGTCCCTAGCACACCTTGTATGGTGGCCTCCTCTGGTTCTACACTGTGAATGTGTTCCACTTGTTACACTCAGGGTACCAGAGGAGTATCAGATGTCGCCTTCAGCCTCTTCCGTAGTGAGGGTCAGTGGGCATGCACCCATCTAGAAAAGGAAGCCCTCCCTCTTCAAGAGTCAGTGTCAGACTGCTACATGGGGACATGCATTCCTTGTCAGCAGTAGCGATCCGGTGAGACTGGCACAGGACATGGCACTGCACACACGGTACAGACATGGAGAGACACCACACAGCACCTGTCCTCTTGAGAAGTTCTAGCCTTTTGACAGGCTGATGTGACTGTAGTAGAGAATGTCTCTACCGAGCACCATGTTTCTAGCTCCCTGTACCAGCACTGTTCACGGACCTTTTACAGCCCAACCATGACCCTGCAGAAACAGAAACACACCGTACCTACTAGACAGGTGGATGTGGATGGAAGTGTGGCTGACCTGGGCATGCGTATTCTACTACACCCAGCATCTCCCTTAGCTCTGCAAGGGGCTTTCCCACTCAAGCTGCTAATGACCTTACCCTGACACGAAAGGCAGGTGTCTCTGCCTTCTCCCCAGCCAGGCCTTCCTAGCTACTGGAACTGGGCAGCACTAGGCAGGTCCCAATCTCGGAAGCCATGGTGTACTTGGTGGGAGGAACAAACTTCTGTGGCCACCAGATGCTCATTTGTTTTGAGACAGGGTCTCACTATGTAGCTCAGGCTGTCCGGGAACTGACTGTGTAAACCAGGCTGGCCTTGAACTCACAAAGATCATTCTGCTTCTGTCTCCTGGAAGCTAGGACTAAAGATGTGTGCCACCACACCCAGCTACTAACTGCTCATTTACCTCTGGCTTGGCCAACTAGGGAGTCTAGTAGTTTTAGCTCCTAGGGCTGTGTACTGAAGAAGCTAAAGTCTCACGAGAACACGGGAAGCCAGCCTTCAGGCATACATAAAAATTTTGGTTCTGTCATGCAGCAGGCAGGCAGTCGCTGGGCCTCTGGGAGGTTGGGGTTCCTCTATAGAGTGTATAGAAAGGCTGGCTTCAAAGTGCTTTTCCAGAATGAAAACCGTAGGTCTAGCAGCTTCAGTGGGGTCGCAGAAGCAGCCTAGCAGTCTCCCATGAGGCCTTTCTGTGTCTCCGCCACAGCTGGGGCCAGGGCTGCCTGTTAAAGCTGTTCCAATTCCCTCTGAAACCATTCCTCTAGCAGGTGAGGGAACAATGCCAGCCCACAGCAGAGTCCTTAAGGTGTGACTTCAGAGGTGTTGACAAGACTCCAGCTGAGCACCAAGCACCAAAAGTACCTGCATTCCCTTCTAGCGTGTCTAAGTAGGCTGGGCATGCTAGGATGCTAGGAAACCACCCAAGTCCAACCAGATGACTGCACTGCTACTGAGCGACTTGTTTTCCTGAAGGGGCCTAAGATGACAGCTTAGTCACATACCCACAGCAAGGACATTAGAGCCAGGGAACCCGGTGTCCCTAAGAAATTAACATTTAGCTAACTGGAGTAACGAACGCAGAAGCTGGTGGAGCTGGCAACCAGATCTGACCCTTCCAACATGTTATTGTTCTAGCTACAACTGGGGACTGCCAGAGTCATACAAAACTATGCCGCACACTAATACCCTCTGGACCCCCTACCCAGGCACGAGAGACATCTAATCTAGATAATCAGTTATCCCATAGGAAGCTGGTTGTCACTCTTCTTTTCTAGGGGACGGGGCAGGTGAAGGGCCTTGTCCGCCTCTATGCTGTTCACTGTGGCTTATCTGTGGAGGGTGGAAAGAGGCTGCTCTCAAGAAGCTGGGACTTCTTGGCAAACCAAGCTTTTCTCTTAGGTGAGGAGGCCAACAGGGGGAGAATTCAGGAGCTGGGAAGTAATAAGGACTGAAGACAAACTCTGATAAGGCTCCTGATTGAGGAGAGGGTGTTCCTGGGGATACCTCAGCCTGAGGAACGAGCTTTCTACCTCGTCCTGGGACCTCTGGAAGCTGTACAGGCAGGGAGTCAGCTACCTGTCAAGGTCCAGTCACATCAGGTGACTCAGACTTCAAGTCTCTTTCCCCCATTCCAAGTGGGCAGCAGGCCTCGGGCGGACAAACGACAGGAAGTGACTGCAGTACCACTGCAAGTCGGACAGTTCCGTGCCTCCTGGTTAGAGCCAGCAACCGAGCACTGCGGGCTCTCCAAGTGGTCTCAGAACTAAGAACTGTGCCCCCTGATAGAATGTACAGGCTTAGAGAAACCAACCATGTTTCATACTTTCTTACCTAACTGTAAAATCCCTATTCAGGTGCAGTACATCTGGTGGGCCTGGTCCCTAGACCCTCCTCAGAGGCCTACACCTGCAGAAGCTCAAGTCCTGACTGTAAAATGGCCTGTTTGCACAGAAGCTACTCATGCCCTCACGTACACTTTCAGTCATTCCTAGCTTACTTACATCAACTCGGGACACCTACTGCAATGTAATATTCTAGACGTTGTTACACTCTCTCGCTTAGAGAAAAGGATGCACATGTTCTGTGCGGAGGGAATCATCTGGTCCCCGGGTGAGGCCTGCCAGGGCACAAGGCTGACTGTCCTGAAGGCTAAAGTGAGGTTTCCTTCCACGTCTGCTCATTCTGTTCTTCTGTGGAGCCCACTGTTGGTCTGCCCTGGCTGCTTCCCCTGTTGGTTGGCCTGCTTTGCCACAGAACTGGTGTTTCAATTATAGCTTCTACACCATTAGGCACAATGAACTACTGTAAAAAAAAAAAAGCTACCGGTGTGACTCAAGCTTGCCTGAGACACCAAAAGCAGAGGCCAGTCTACAGTAGGCCACAGTGGCACTCATCAGTAACCCCAGCATTCAGGAAGCCAGCTAGGGCTACACGGCAGACTGGGAAAAGAAACCTGGGTCTGTAGACCGTGCGGCGCAGCCAGCTGCAAACGATGGGGAAGCTGGAAGCATGAGATGTGGTACGGAGCGACAGCTTGCTCCGACAGGTTTGAAAATTGAAGTTAGGGGACAGTTTTAAACCGCACAGCCCTGTCACCTTTTCTCAACATCAATAGCGACCATGAGACACTCGGGTGGCCTCTGAGAAATCAAGCCACACGAAACTGATGACTTTGATGTCTTGGTCTGCATCCTGAAATGGTTCAGGGTTCTGTGGGTGCAAGAACACGCTGCAGGAGTCACAGGAACAATGACAAAGAGGCAGAAGGTGCTTGCAGTTTTACCTAAACGTCTTCTCAGGATGGAGCTGACGCTCCCGCACTGACAGAAAAGATTAGCACTGGGAGGCTCCGCAAAGGGTGGCAGCAATCACAGGCACCCACGATGGGTGAAGGAAAACCACCATCTGCTGGTGGGCACCAGTGTCAATACACTGAAAGGGGAAAGGAAGGGCTGGATGAGATCCAGAGCCCTCTCTGCCCACGTTAAAACTGAGGAGCTTCCTCTGCCTGCCAGTATGTCAGTGCCAACACATTCGGTGTGTCTCACTCGTCTCACACCCATAGGAAGGAAGAAACAATGGATACTGGAACCAGGGACTGAGAACTCGGGCTCATTCTGGAGCAGGCGCACAGACCGTTAGATGTATCTGTCTTCCAACCTGAGTCCTGCACACCTCTCCCTCCTCCATGAGACAGAATCAGACAAGACCTGTGGCTCATGGTCCAGGAGCTGTTGTTGGGGAAGCCGGGGACAGTGTGGGGCAGAGGCGTTGGGGAGGAAGGCGTGGATAAAGGAAAAGCACCGAGGCAGCATCTCAGGCTGGAAATACCTTCACCGTCAAAAGCTGCAGCGTTGTATGTGCAAACAGCAGGGCCTCGGTGGAGTAGAGGACAGCCGAAACAGGCACGTCCCACTAGTTTGCAGCAGGATTCCACAAACAGCGAGGCATTAGTCATCTCTTTAACACGGCTATCAGCAGTTATAGTTTCTGGCTATGATTCAGTAAATTTGCTTCTCTAATGTTTAGAATCTTAAACTAAATTCTTTATTTCAAAAACAAAATCAAAACAGTTTTCCAGGGAGAGAAGGTGGGTAGAAGATGGACATGTCATCCTTACCAGCTCCTTCCTACCTCCGCAGGCTGGAGAGGGGGGAATAACAACATGGAAGAACATCACCTCAAGGGCTGTGGTTGACTCATGGCCTTGTGGGTGTGGTTTACAATCTTTAGTCACATAACATCCAGGAAGGGTCAGACCTAAGTCAGAACTCAGGTCAGCAGCTAGTCTGCCCTTCTCTATGCCACACACAACATGGCAGAACCAAGCAGCCCCTTCACCTATAATAGTGTATCAAGATAATGCTTCCTGTGCTACTAGGAAAGGAGAAAAACAAGAAAACAAGGTACGGTGAACCCTTGCACCACCAGTGGCATTTCTGAGACTTGCCTGAACCCCAACTCCTATCGCTGGGACAGGTTTGGTCATCTGCACTGGAGCACAAAGAGAAACCAAGCAGAGTCTGAGCCACAAGCAGACTCTGACACAATTCTAGGTTAGGTTAGAATGTCACATGTGCACAGGAAGCAGATGAAGAAGTTTTCTGAGGGAGGTGATGCTGAGTCAGAACAGGCATTTAACCCTCTGGGGAGACGCTCCCTATGGTGATGTCAGGAGCTAGGGTGCTTCGAGGAAGGTGTTGGTTCGGAAGATGGAGGAGACGATCTTCCCTGTAGCGTTGATGGTGCCTTCGCTGTCTGAACTGGACTCGGAGTCACTGCTCCCGGAGTAGGCACCCAGGCCCGGGAGGATGCCGATGCAGACAGCAGCAGATGGGCAGTGGATGGAGGGGCCACTCAGAGAAGAGCTTCCAAGAGACACGCAGGACGGAGCCTCTGCAAAAGGGAGGACAGGAAGTCAGTCATAGCGTTCCCTAATGGTGAAGGGTCATCCCCAGGTCCTGGACACCGTGCCAGGGTTTTCTACAAAGAGCCCCGATGCTGCAGAACAACTCTGCAGTCATAGGAGGCTCTAGACATCTTTGGGCTACAGGTGAGGAAGCTGACAGAGAAAACACAGAGTTGGGACTCAGAGTCTGCCCACACTCTCTTGCCACCCACCAGTTCTGAGGCTGAGGAACAGACTATATAGAGTCACCTATCTTAGTCTGATGTCTTCAGCGATGCTGTGGCCCTCAACTGGAAGCTAGATTAAAAGACCAACTGTGGGCGGTACAAACAACACTGCCATACATAGAGAGCAATCTACTGACTAGCAGGAATCAGCCATACAGTTTTGCTCTTTATGGAGCATTTTCCCAGGATGGGGAGATGGGTACCTCAAAAACTGATTTATCACTTTTGTACTGAGAATCACTGAAGAAAAAATTTATTTTTTTTACTTATTTATTTAACATTATTTTATGTGCATTGGTGTGAAGGTATCAGATCCTTAGAACTGAAGTAACAGACAGCTGTAAGCTGTCATATGGGTGCAGGGAACTGAACCTGGGTTCTTTAGAAGAGCAGCCAGGATTCTTAACCACTGAGCCACCTCTTCAGCCCAGAAACATTTTAAAGCCAGGTACAATATTACCATGTATCTGGGCTCTTCTTTCCGGAATATGCATAGTGATTCTGCTATTCTAATGACAAAGGCCTCGATCTACAACATGCAGAACTTGACAATTACAGAGAACGTTAGGGGTCTGGAGAGACTGCTAAGATTAAAAAGCACATATTGTATTCTCGAAGAGGACCTGAGTTCAGTTCCCAGCACTCAAAAACAAAACAATCCTACATTGAGAATGGCGCTCCATTCTTTCTTCCCTGTTTCCAGCCTCATGCAGTCACTGTAACAACTGTATGTAGGGCTTCTCCCTGCTGACTGATGAGGGAAGTCAAGTAAGCTGGTAAGTACACAGACTAGAGTATAAAACACTAGACCTGCGCCCGAAGATTCTGGACTCAAGTGAAGCCAAAGCTCACTGGAGCAGAAGGCCAGTAAGCAGCACCCTCCATGGCCTCTGAATCAGCTCCTGCCTCCGAGTTCCTGCCCTCACTGCTTTTGATGATGAACTGATATGTGGAAGTATAAATCAAATAAACCCTTTCCTCCCCAAGTTGCTTTTGGTCATGGTGTTTCATCACAGCAATAGAAACCCTAAAAGATAGTAATGCATGCCTATTATCCCAGTAGTTGGGAAGTAGAGGCAGGAATATTAGAGGCTAAAGATTATCCTTAGCTACATAGTAAGTCTGAGGCCAGCTTGGTCTACATGAGACCTTGCCTTAAAATTAAAAAAAAAAAAAAAAAAAAAAAAGGACACAGATAATACAAGTAGTTCACAGAACAATGAAACGTGAGTTTTAAACACAGGAAAAGAAACAATTATTAGGAAGGAATGTGTAAGTAACAGCTCAAGACAATTTGGCAATGACCTCCAAACTTAACTAACTATTGTGGATCATGGTCCTCAGAACAAAATAACCACTATCTTCCTCAGATCATCTGTAGCTTCTTGCAAGAGACGATTCCAATCAGGCCTGCTGACTGCTGACATTCCCTCAGAGGAGGAGAGGATAGGGAGGATCATTGGACCTGGGCACAGTGCCAAGGCTTTCCCTGAAGAAGCCCCAACACAACAAAACAACCCAGATAACCAGAGGGCAACTGTGGTTATCCTTGTGTTACAAAAGGAGATCCCAGCCCCCGTCTCAGCCATCTATAACTCTGCCCTAGTCACACCTGGGGTAGAGTACAGGGGTATCGTGTAAGGAGATAGAGCACACAGGCTGGGGAGGGTAGCTGAGGAGAGCCCCCTCCATGCAGCTAAGGGAAGCAAGCCACCATCCATGCTAGGTGAGGACTCCTCAGAATGGCTGCTGCTCTGGGGATCTCCCAGGCTCCTGCAGTAACCTCTCACCCGTGCTCTGTAGCCCAATAACATGGATTCTCCAGAGTGAATGCTGGTGGACTCTTACTTTTAAGAAAGGGGCAGATGTTTATATCTCTACAGGGAAGGACTTCTCACAACATCGATGGTGTTTCCGGAAACTGTCCACAGCAGCAAAAGGAGGTGTTTACAGAGGCTGTGCTGTCAGTGTCTGCCAACCTGGGACAAGCTGAATCACCTGAGAGGGAACCTCATCTGAGGCACTGTGGGCATTTTCTTAATTAATGATAGATGCAGGAGGGCCAAGTCCAGTTTAGGCAGTACCACCCCTGGGCAAGTGGCCCTAGGTTGTATAAGAAAACAGGCAGAGCAGGCCATGGCCATCGAGCCAGTAAGTAGTATTCCTCCATGGCTCCTGCTGAGTTCCTGCCCTGACTTCCTATAGTGATGGACTGTGAACTGGAAGTATACAATAAACCTTCTCCTACCCCCAGGTTGTTTTGCTTGGGGGTTTATCACAGCAACAGAGAAGCAAAGGAGGCCAGCAGGTAAGTGGCTGAGAATAAAGGCGCTGGGGCTGGGGCTGCAGCTCAGCATACTCACGGAGACTGCTGCCCGAGTATGCACAAGGTTCTGGGTTCCATTAACAGGACTGTGGGGGAAGAGGGAAGGAAACAAGTCTGTCCTCAATGGAAATGAATGGTCTCCAAGATGGACTCAATGGAAAAGGAGAGAAGCAGAACACAATGTAATTTAGGGAGAATCAGAAACATGCCCATGCACAAATACAACAAAGCCAAAAAACCAAAACCACGAACAACTGGTGGCAGTGTGTGGCTTAGGAAGAAACCAGTGTCTACCGAGCCGTGGAGACTTACTTTTCCTATTGTACTCTTCTTACCCCCTTTCTAAATTATTACCTCATTTAGACATTGTTTTTAAAAGGCAAATAAAAAATCCAAAGAGCATTTCAATCAAAGCAGAATATCCCATCAATGCTATAACCCCCCAGGATATCCTTCCAATAAAGGAGGAGAAATGCAGAAGCCTCAATGCCTGCTGAAGGGGCAGGACGTTTGTCTATACTCCCACTGAATAGAGGACCTTGAAAAGGGTGCCCGCCCCACCACTACCCTGACACACACCCTGGTATGGCACGAAGTAGGCCAGAAGTTCCCTTGCAGATGGCTAATTTGGGGGAGGGTGGAGTAATGGTAAAAATCTGATCGTTTTAATATTTGGGACATGACAATAAGTTGTATAATTCATTCCTTGAGCGTTTGTTGTATTATTATGCGCCACACAGAACGCTTTCAAAGCTGAGAATAAAAGAATCCAGTTCAGAGTGCCTAGGAGGGCTGGAGCTGCCTGTGGAAGGATGGAGCCGAGCACAGAGCTGCAACAGGAATCTGGGCTGTTGTGACACTGGAGTCGCTTAAGTGAAAGGACAGACCCTCCAATTATCTAGGAAGTATCAAGAGAGAAAAGAGACTGCAACTCTGACAAATTTCATTCCAAAAGCAGTTAACTGCCCAGAGAGAACAAAATGGTGCCCTCTGATCTCACCATTTGGGGACGTTTCCTGCCAACGCCTGCCTCTGCCGGACCACATTGTCATATCGAGTTAGCAGAGAAAATGATGACTAGAGAATGTTCTTGGAATGCAGGCAGATGGAGAGAGTACAGAGGCCACCTTGCATGTTTGTTGGCTCTGCATGAGATAATTTTCAGTGGGGGAGCTCGGTTTCTGTCAGGGTCGGAGTCACCTTCTGTAGGACCAAGGCAAAGCCTGCCCCAGCAGAGGACAAGATTGAAGCAAGCTTCAAGGGCAGTAGGTCGCTTCGGGGTCCTTTTTCCTAGCAAAGGAAGGTTATTTCTCGTCTAGCTTGTACAAGAATCAGGAATAGGAAGAAGGCACTTAGAATGACAAATATAACTGCGTATACATACAGAGAACAGGCCTGGATGGAGACATAAAAATGTACACTGGTGTTTCCCGTGGAAATCAAAGGGATGGAAGAGGGTGTGGGAGAAAGACAGACTGATATTTTTAAAGGTACAGGTACCATCCCCGGTACTGTGGAGAAACAACTGAATAAGCATCCACTATCTGAGAAAGAAATAAACGTAAGCCCTGTTTTATAGATGGCCAACTGAATTGGATTTAGAACCCTCAATCCCATAGGTGGAACTAAAAACAAACTCTTGAATTCCTCATCCAGGCCCAAGAACACTCCCTTTTACTTATAATTTCCTGCTACCTAATACAGAGGCAGATTTCATCACATAAAAAGTCACTGTCTTCAAGGAAAATAGTCCTGAATACCATTCTAGGCTCAATCCAATCCAACCACTAGCAGAAGCTTGGTATTCTGTCTCCCACGGGTGAAATAAGAAACCTGACATTTGGCAAGAGAGAGAAAAACCTGTTGTGAGCAGAGGTCACCTGACCAGAGTTTATAAGCACTCCCGGGAGAACACGACTGTTACTGATCAGCTCCACTGGTTCACTACACACTACTTTTGTAGGGCAGCTGACACATTCGTGGTAGGAATTCCTGCTTAATATAAAACGGTTTGGCAAACTAGATTAATTTAAGGCTGGCTTATTTAAAGACACATAATGCACCCTTCACAAAAGATGCAGTGAGTCCTGTCCTTCCTACAGTTCTCGTCTACAATGAGGGAAAGGAAGGAATTAAGGGACCACACCCACCTTGAGCCTTGTCATCTGGGTCAGGGTCTGGTTTCAGTCTTTTCACACTATTGCCACTCTCTGAGCTGTAACAGAAAACATGGTGATTTGAGCTATGTTGACTCTCAGGGATCAACACCGAGGGAATGGGAGCAGCAGAGATACTTATGAGAGTCTGGGCTGTCTCAAGGCTGTGATGACTGAAATGAAAAGATAACATTTCACTTCCAAGCCTCTGCCCAAACATAAAATCTACCTTCTGAAAAATCCAATGACACAGCATGCCAATTTTGGCTTTCTGTTATCTTTACCATTCAACTTGGGTAGAATCACGAATGGAGTTCAAGAGCATTTACACATTTTCACAATGACAAAACTTAAATTATTAAAGGAAACATTTCTGATAATATGTAGAGTCACCCAAAAGATTTTCACTAAAAGAGTAGATAAAGAATACGTTTCAGCGGAGAAAGACATTACACTGAAGAAGAGATGGTGACGTAAGTTTAACGGGTATCTCATATATATGGGCCATAGTCTAATTTGTGGCATGAAACACAACACAGTCCTGGGCAATAGTAGAACAAAGAAGAGAGTGAATGTAGCATGAGATCTGATGGTCCCTCTGGTGGGAGGAGGGTTATGCTGGGGAGATTGTACCCACGGCCTCTCAATAGTAGGTAAGTGCTTAGCACAGAACTGCAGTCCCAGCCCAAGGGCTTCTGTTTGCATCATTTTTTTAAAATTTTTTTTTTATTTTTCATTTTTCGAGACAGGGTTTCTCTGTAGCTTTTTTGGTTCCTGTCCTGGAACTAGCTCTTGTAGACCAGGCTGGCCTTGAACTCACAGAGATCCACCTGCCTCTGCCTCCCGAGTGCTGGGATTAAAGGCGTGCGCCACCACCGCCCGGCTTGTTTGCATCATTTTTAAGAAGGTAAGATAGCTATTCATATGCTTGCCTGGTAAATTTCAAGGCCCTATCACTAAAAGGGTACAAATAAGTATATATAATAGAAAGAAAAAATATTTTAAGGCCTTATTCATTTCTCCTCCTAAAAGCAAGACAATAAGGAAAAATATTTTAAAAAGTAAAAGGGAGGATGGGGATGTAGCTCAGTCAGGTAGACTGTAACCAATGCCCTGGGAAAGCTATGGGTTCAATCCCCAAACAGCATAAACTGGGCATGCTGGCACATCTGTAATCCCAGTTCTTAGGTGGAACAGGAGGGTCAGAAGTCCAAGGCCATCTTTGGCTATACACTGAGTTTGAAATCAGATTGGAATATATACACCTTGCTCTATAAGTAATAAACAAATGAATACAGATAAATAAGTAAATATAAATGAAATTTAAAAAGTACAAAAGACAGCACTAAGATGTTAGAAATTATATTTTAAGATCTTGATAAATATAGACTACACAAACTAGTAAAAAACAGATTAAGTGAATACATTTTAAAACAATCACTTAAAGGTGCTTATCTAAAAAAACTTAAAAAAAGAAAAACATACTCCAAAAAACTTAATACCCAAAAAGATTAAAAGTGGAAGCATGGATCAACAGAGAATCAAGGCAAATACTAGCATGAAAAAGGCTGGGTGGTGGCTATTCCTCACTGTCAACTTGACTACATCTGGGACTAACTAAAACCCTGGGGTTTTATCACTGTTCTACTGCAGTGAAGAGACACCATGACTAAAGCATTTAACTCAGGCCTTGCTCGCAGTTTTAGAGGTTTCCTTCATTATCATCAATCATGGCAGGGCATGTAAGAGAAAGACAGACAAAGACAGAAAAACAATTTTCTTTAAAATCACTTAGAACATTAATACCAGGAACAGGTGACAGTCTAAAGTCCTACCAAAAGAATTAGGATTTCCAGGCACAGTGGAGCACACCTGTATACTAGCACTTAGGAGATGAGGTAGGTATAGCGAGTAGCCTGGTCTATACAATAAATTCCAGGCCACCCAGGGCTACACAAACAAAAACAAACAAACAAAAAAACCCCAAAACTATGATATATAAACCACAATATTACAATATAATTAAGTTAGAAATTAGTAAGGAAAAAATAAAGACAGAATTTCATAGCCTCTAAGATACTAGGATTATAAGGGTTAGTAGTGTGTGTATGGGGAGGGTTACATTAGAACCAAGTATGGAAAAGTTACCTCAATATTGAAAATTTTAAATGTTTCAATATTATTTCTGAGACAAAGAAGAAATCACAGTGGCAATTTTAAATACACAGTGGGAATTATAAAACTACTTGATGAGAGCCGAAAGAAGTAAACAGAATTGAGTGCCTCTAATTGAAAAGACTGAAAATAAATGAGTGTGGGTATCCCACAGGACTTTATAACAATAAGTATAAGAAAAAACTGAAAAACAGCAAAGATGATCTCTTTAAAGATAAGAAGCAGGTTTGTTTTTGTTTTGTGATACTTCACACATCTGGAGGCTTCCAGATTTTCACCAGGGATCTGAATTGTACATGCACCTTCTAACAACGATGACTCTCACGCTTTAAATTTATTAAACCAGAGTTAGCATGAAGCCCAGGACAAACTCTCAGGTTATTTTGACTAGGGTAGGGGAGATCAGAAACTCCTGCCCCAAGAGGCTAATGTGTCACCTTGCTACAAAAGCAACATTAAATGATATACTTTGAAAACCCAAGAGAGTCTCTATACAGATTAACAAATAAGCTAACAGAGCCCTTCCTAAATAGGATATAAAGACTAATCAAGGGAGACAGTTGAAATACCCACTTGGCAACAGCGAGAGTACCCAGGAGGTAACTGCCCACCTGGAGAGCTCATCAAACTGGTCCAGGTCTGATTCCTGAGAGCCAATGAACTTTGAAAAGCTTATATAGGATGTTAAAAGATTCATGGCTTTTTAAGGTTCCTTCTTAGACCATTGATCCTCCCCCTGTGCTGCTGTACCATGATGACATTTTTACATGTGCTCAGTGTTCCTAGGAACATCTGCAGCAGATAGATGTTGTGCCAAACCGCAAGACTGCATCAATACACTCCATTCAAAACATGTGGCTGGTTGCCAATACACCATATTGATTTTCCTAATAGACTGCACTTAACATCATTTCACCCACAGTCTGGTTGGTCAAGCTGATTCAATCATTCTGGTGCCATTTCTGAATTTGAAAAGGGAAGAGCCAATATGACAAAGAACTCATCAGAATCTGTGGTAGTGCTTGTACCCTCGCATCAGTCAAAATGAGCTGTAGCCAGGTCTATAACCCTGTCACAGCTGCCGCATTCTCTCAATGCTTTCGCAGCAGCTGTTCTCTGGCTGCTTTCTCCCTCGCCTGCCTGCCTGCCTGCCTGTCAGAGCCCTGGTGCCCTAGCCCGTCAGCATCTTTCTAAGCCCTTCTCTAACTCCTCCTCCATGCTGTCACAGCTCACCAGCAGCACTCCTGAAGCACTTGCTGCCTCATATGCCTAGAAATACAAAAGCTCAACACCGCACTCTTGCTTACTGTATGACCATGGACAAAAGTTCTTCATCTACCAAGTAGTCTTTCCATCTGTAAACCGAGTCATAAGAAATGATATTCCATGGAAGTGGCGAGAGGAATCTGTGAGATCACTAGAGGAAACGTGACATGCAGCAGATGCTCAATGAAGAAGCACTACATGGCAGTGAATGAGTGATCCAGTCAGTCTAGGGTCAAAGGCTACAGGGGCTCTAAATCTGGAAGGGGGGCGAAATGCAAGCACACTGACAGTTTTGTCACAGCAGCATGCTGGATTTGCACTGGCTCCCATTACCAGCGGCATCTCAGAGGATGGGGCCAGAGGGAGATTTACACCGTGTTCACACTGGCTGACCTCTTATGCTTCACAGCTCCTGCCAACAGCTTCGCCTGGGAGAACTTGCTCTTGGTTTCTATGGGTTTCACAGCCAGCTTCTTCTCTACTTCTTTATTTTCTGCAGAAATTCCAACCTTGTTGAGATTACTGTGAGTTACAAGTTAAGGGTCAGATTCAACAAAAGAAATATACAAAGCAAAGGTAGATATAGAGAACAAATATACCCCACAACCCCCTTGGCAGAACTTAATGAGACCTTCCTGCCTTGACAAGTGATTAGATACAGGCCTAAACCACCAGATCCTGAGTGTATGTGCACAGATGTGTACATGAATGAGGGCATGTCTGTGTCACTACATGCGTGTGTGGAGGACAGGACAACCCCAGGATTTGGTTTTGAGACTTGTTTCATTAAGTAATCTCCTGCCTCATACTCCTGAATGTGGCTAGCCCTGCCTAGGCTTTTGGGCTCTTGTGTTACATCTGCAAAAACCTCATTTAAAATCTTCTTAGTAGAAGTACTCTAAGGCACCAGCAGGACAAGTGGTCCTCACGGCTCACAACTAAATGCCACTGATAGTCATGAAGCCATTCTGCAAAACTCAATTTTACTCTTGGGAGGTGAGACTTATTTCTAAGGAAGTCATACATAATTTTTCAATTTCCTTTATATTCCTAAAGATCTTTGTTTTATGGCTGGCAAGATGACGAAGGAGTAAAGGCACAATCCCTAGAACTCACATGGCAGAAGGGAGAATAGACTCCTACAAGCTGTCCTCTAGCTTTCCACATGTATCCACACGCATGTGTGCGTGCACACACACACATACACACGGGGGGAGGGAGGAGGCAGGCAGGCAGGCAGGCAGACTGGAACTGATGATGCAGGACTCTACTCCAGCTACTTCAGAGAGTTAAGCTCTACCCTGGGTTACAGACTAATCAAGCCAGCCTGGGAAAGTTAGAAAGATCCTGTCTCTGACTAAAAAGTAGAATAAAAAGGCTGGAATGTCACTTAGTGGTAGAGAGATCATCTAGCATATGCAAGGTCCTAGGTTCACCCCCCAGTACCACAAACATGGAGAAAAGGCCTAAGAAGAGCACTTGTCAGGCCATGTCACTGCTAGCTCACAAGGTCTGTCACCCTGCTGCTCTCCCCACTAGCACCAGGCTCCTTCCAGTCTATGCTCTTCTTCAAAGTTACTAAGCAAGTTGCTAGGATGCAGGAGTGCCTTGCTGGACAACACTGACATCTAGTGCCCAAGAAATCTAAGAAGCAGCCTTAGAAAAATGGAGAGCTACATATCAGACATAGGTCATCCGGCTAGGTGGCAAATGTCTTTATTGACTGAGCTACTTTAATAGTCCTAAATCTTTATTTTCTTAAAATTATGTTTAAGTGCATACACGTGTACACACACACCACGCACACATAACACACACACACACACACACACACACACAATGCACATTTCCAGGCAGTGCACAGCAGTCAGAGGGTAACTTTCAGTAGTCAGTTCTCTCTTTCTACCATATGGATCTCAGGAATCAAACTTGGGCCATCAAGCTTTACCCACTGAGCTCATCCTGTCAGTCATAAAAGTTCATTTTTATAATTTTTCATTTTTATAAAAGAAACAAAAAAAACCCTTAATTTTCCTAGGATTAAAATGTCAAAACCATTAGCACATTGTGGTTTTTAATCTGTAACTCTGTCACTAAGGCTCAGAAGATCAAAAAGAAAAAGAACAAAACCTACTCAATAACACACATCTCAAAATTTTCAGTCTTTATTAGATGAGACACTCTGTGTGTATGGGGAGGGGGCAGGCACATATATGTGGAGGCCAGGAAAGAACAGCAATTATCTTTCTCTACCATTTTCCACCTTGCTCCTTTGAGATAGGGTTTCTCACTGAATGTCGTCTCATGCCAAAGGTAGCTTTAGCCAGATCGGCTGGCCAGCAAGCCGAGGTATTCTCTGGTCTCACTCTTCCAAGACAGCCATACCTGTTTTGTTTCACATGGGTGTTGGGGAGTAGAACTCAAGCCTTCGTGCCTGTACAGCAAGCACTTAGTACACCATCCAGTGAACCATTTCCCCAGTCCCAGATAGGGCCTTTTTAAAAAAAGTTTATTTTATTTCATGTGTATTGTTTGTTTGTCTGCATATATGTATGTGCACCACATGTGTACAGCATCTGTGGAGACCAGAAGAGGGCGTCAGATCCCCTGGAACTGGAAACAGAAGATTGTGAACTGTCACATGGGTGCTGGAAACTGAACTTGGGTCCTCTGCAAGAGCAAGACAACAACTGAACCATCTCTCCATCTTCCAGATTTTTAATTATACAATTTTAGATATGCATAATTTGTTAAAAACTAGCATAATCTGAGTGGGATCAACTAGAGTACTACAATTTACATAAAACAATCATAGCTCATTTGTATTCACAAGTGTTGCATTATAAAATATACCATGTTAAAGAGCAAAGCCAAGAGTCAGCATCTAATATAGAGTGTCCATAAATAAATATCTAATCCCTCCAATCCTGTCTTCCCGTATCTGGTTACTTGGGTGTTTGGAATCAGATATCTGCAACAAAGGGCCTGCTTTTCTTCAGTTTTGTAAGACATCTATCAGAACCTGCCCAGTTTCCATCTAAAGCCAACACCCTGAAGTCTTTCCAGCTCTCTACTCCAGTGTCACTGCAGAAAGTTCCTGGTTCTTTCCTTTAAGTTGAAAATGAAAGAGCATTTTATATTCCTAGCACCCTCTCTAGAATGTTGACCTCCGGTGGACATTTATCTGTTAGTCTATCAACCTAAAACAAAACAATTTATGTGGAAAGTATACCACTACTTCCTTAGAGGATAAAAGCCTGGTGTCTGAAACATGACACAAAAAGATCTGCCCATCTTCACAAATGTGTCAGCTCATAATAGTATTCTAGAGTCCTCAGGGTAGAGGTGGAGATTCAGAAGAGTCAATCTTAGGTTTACAGTTCAAACTGAGGGGTAACTTTGTATCAACTCCCACAGCCTCAGACAATACCTAAATGCTACTAATAGAACTAAGACTGGCAGCCAGTACTTATGCTCCCAGTTCTGACTGACTTTAGGGCCAGTGAATCTGCCCACATTTCCTCCTACAGGTTAACTCTTTAATGAACTTACTGTACACTCTCTGCAGGAAAACGCTAGCATAAATATAAAATCTTATCATCAAGATGGGCATAGTGGCTCACACCTTTAGGCACTGGGGAGACAGAAGCAGAGAGACTTCTGTGTGTTAGGAGCCAGTCTGGTCTACATGGTGAATTCCAAGCCAGCTAGACTGCACACTGACAATGTCCTACCATCAATTATCAAGTCACAGATAATTGAACTTACACACTTGAAAAAGACAAATAAGCTTCCATACTGGAGGGGAAAAGTTAGAACGGCCTACCAATAGCTCCTACAGGTTATTCACGCATTTACTACAGTCCAGGCACAGGGAAAAATTAGTCATTCTGGTTGTGATAGAATTTATTTTACATTCTAGAAGTGAAAAGATAAAATGAGCCAAAGCAAACAAATGAAAATTTCCCCTATTTAAAACAAAATTATGGGGCTTGGGACAGAGCATGTGCTTAGAATGTGTAAATGCCTGGATGCCACTCCAAGCACCACCAAATGGGATTACAGACGGCAATCAGAAGCTGCAACCATACAGGTTCACAGGAAGAGGAGTGTAGAACTGAGACCTCAGCCATGAAATGCTAGCTGTGGGCAATCTGAAGGAAGAACATCTCAGATTAAAGAAATTATGAATTTGAGGCCTTGAAATGGAATCCATATGATGAAAGAGAAATCTAGGGGCCAGAGGCTAGGGTACAGTGGACATGAAGAGTAGTTACGGAGTACAGAGGCAGGTGATCTGCTCCAAGTCATGGAGAGTCTTGTGGAGTCTGACTAAAGAATGCTGAAGGAAGCCAGGCATGGCTGTGCACATCTTTAGTCCTAGCACTCAGAAGGCAAGGCAGATCTCTCTGAGTTCTTTGCAGCCAGGTCTACAAAGTGAGTTCTAGGTCAGTCACAGCTACATAGTGAGATCTTGTCTCAAAAGAGAGAGAAAAAAAAGGTTGGGGATAAGAGTAGAAATGGAAACCAATTAGTAGTGACCCTAGCAATACAGGAAGTCCAGAGTGGAAAGAGAGACAGCAAGATTAAGACAGGTCTGAGTACACTTGGTAAGTCGTTTTGGCAATTGTAGAGTAGAGAAGACTGGGAAGAAAAAAAAGAAAGAAAGAAAAAACAAACAAAAACTGTACTGTGGCATGAACTGAGAGTTCATCATCAGCTAAGTTAGATTTGGAGGTGCCCATTAAGACATTTAAAGGCATATGGTATACGTAATCCCAGCACTCAAGACCCAGGAGGAACACAAGTTTGAGGCCATCTCAGGAAAAGGGGGAAAAAGTTGGATAAGTAGATGCTTCCAACAAGGTAATTATAAAGTCAAAAAAAAAAAAAAAGAATGATCTTAGTTGTTCCCTGACCCCACTGTAGGAATAGTTCTCAGGGTATGGGAGGGCTGCCTACCTTTGCTAAAAACAGAAGACTAAGAGGAATCTTTCTAAGCACGCCTTTTTAGGTCTGGGGAGATGCTTAAGAGTAAAAGCACTGTTTGGCAAGCACGAGGACCCAAGTTCAAATCCCCAGCACTCATGTAAAATCCAGGCATGGTGCAGACAAGCAGACCCTAGGTATTTACTGGCCTGCCAGCTTAGCTAGTGCAGCAGGACTCAGGTTCAGAGAGCGGTCCCATCTCAAGGGAACAGAGCAGGACACTGGACGTGATCGTCTTTGGTTTCAGTAGGTATGTACTGTACATACACAGGCATATAAAAGGCCATAAACAAGCCCTTTTAAATCTCAGGAGGCAATTTCTCCCCAGAGAGGCTGGCTACATCGTCCATCTGTCTAAGCCTAATCCTACAAGGCAAGAATATCCTGCTACAGACTATGAGAATTTATGCCTGGTTGATCCTGGAAAATGTGGACTTCTGATCACAACAGACATGCACATGCAGCAGGCCCACTGACCACAGCCAGTCAGCCATCAGTCATAGGACATCAGTGCTGACACTTTCTATCTGTGAGGACAGCGAGTCATCTCTCTCCAAGCACAAAGGATATTCTGTACTCCTTCAGCTCCTCCAGTTCTTCTTCTCGTCGCTGCTTTTCTATCAGTTCCTGCTGACGAGAAACCTCATCAAGGAAGTTGGTCTCATCTTCATCTAAACCTCTTACCATATTTTCTGAGGAAACAATTGAATAAGGGATACTGAGAAGACTAAGAGAAAAACGGTCGTCTTTGACTTTTCCTTTCCTACATTAAAAGAAAAAGATTATTATGGTGTGTGTACACGCGTGCCATGGTACACACATGAAGGCCAGGGGACAGCCCTCAGGAGTCAACTCTCTCCTTCCAGCTGTGGGACCCAGGGATCAACTGGCACAGCGAGCACTTGTACCACTGGCAACACTGCCCCTTTTCCTTTTTAAATAAGCAGCAGATTCTTCAGACAATTAAAAGAAATAACTGTTGGGGGCTGGAGAGATGGCTCAGAGGTTAAGAGCACTGACTGCTCTTCCAGAGGTCCTGAGTTCAATTCCCAGCAACCACATGTCTGTAATGACATCTGGTGCCCTCTTCTGGCCAGCAAGCATGCAGAAAGACAGAACACTGTATACATAATAAATAAATCTTAAATAAATAAATAAAAGGATATCTTTGTTAAAAAAAAAAGAAATAACTGTTAAACACCATGGCTTTTTTTTATAAATAGCATGGCATAAAGTCAAAGCATTTCTCCCATTACTAGATATTAGCACAGAATTCAAATGGTATCTTAAACTCTAAGTAAAAATGTTCAATGTGGTTTAGAAGGCAGAAGATGGTCTTTTTTCTACTGGACAAGCTTCTGAAGGCTGGATGATTAAGATAATTCTATTGCTAGTAATAAAGACAGTTTTATGAGGTCAAAGTACATCAGAAGGCCCAGTGAATCCCTCAGAATGTGAACTGTATGAAGCTTACTGAATTTGAACTGTTCCTCATACTCCTGCTGCTTCCTGTCTTTCTGCTCCTGGAGCCGTTCATACAGAGACCGGGGGTCATAAGCCTCCTCTGGACATTCTGAAAGGAAGATGGCATAAAGGAGACACAGAATTTAGGCTGTTTCATATTATTTTGGAATCACAAAGAGCTGGAAAAATAGCTAAGTCTCTATATTGTCTGAAGGTGAAAATAACAAAAATAACAAAGTCTACAGCATCTTTTGCCCCTCACTCAGAAAGCGGCAGGTGGTTTGCAAAGGCAGCTATTAATGTCACACTGCTAACTGGATGAGCAGCTGGTCAAACCTATTAGCAGCATCCTCAGTTCAAACTGTGCCTCCTCCACCTGTGACAATGGAAGAGACTTAGCAGACTCTCCTGGAAGGCACTGTGGAGGGGAGAAGAGGGCAAACATGGAGTACTCTAGTCCTGCTGTGGAGACTTCACATGGGTAACTTCACCCTGTCCCTAAACTCTAACAAGGACAATTAGCACCTTCTTGGCAGAGTTTTATGAGGATTAAAGAATTAAATGAGGAGCTGGAGAATTGGTTCAGCAGTTAAGAGCACTGGCTGCTCTTCCAGAGGACCTCGGTTCAATTCCCAGCACCCACATGGTAGCTCACAATTGCTAACTCCAGTTCCAGGGGACCCAGCATCTTCATCCAGACATATATGTAGGCAAAATACCAATGCACATAAAAACAAACAAATTGTTAGAAAAAAGTTAAATGAGTGTCCAGCTCTAGGTCTATATACCTTGTGGATCTTCTGGTTTTCGAACCTTTTCCCACTCTTCTTGCCTCCTTTTGCGCCGCTCATCTAGCTCTGCCTCGGACACAAACCTCTTTTTGATGACAAGGTTACCATCATCTCCTCCATCCATAATGGAACAGTCTGCAGGGGGAAAAAATCTACAATATTTTGAAGAATTACAACTAAAATTCTGAAGAGAAGGGCTGGGGGTGTAGCTTAATTGGTAGAGTGCTTGCCTATTATGCATGAAGCCCTGGGCTTAATCCTAACACCTCATGTCCTGAGTGTAGTAGAAGACGTCTGTACTCCTCATGTCCTGGGTGAAGTGGAACACGTCTGTACTCCTCATGTCCTGGGTGAAGTGGAACACGTCTGTACTCCTCATGTACTGGGTATAGTAATACATGTCTGTACTCCTTGCACATGAGACGTGCAGTTTTTTAGGTAGAGGCTATCCTGGCTTACCAGGCAGAAAACATCTGTGTTTTCCAGTCTGTGAGCAGTTCTGGAATCACTCTTTTGCCACAGTGTTCCACAATGTGTCACAGTGAAGGTCTTTCTCTGTGCCACTACTTCGGACAAAGGTGGGCACCCACCCTCCTTTCTAGCTGTAGTATTCGTCACCACGCCCTCTTTCAGCTGCTACTTCAAGAGCACAACACTACCTTGGTCTGCCTGTTCTTACCTCCAACACAGATTCTAATGGAGAATCTCAGGGCCTCAAGGAGTCTTAGTCAAGTCCAGTCTGTACAGCAGGGAGGTGACAGACCTAGGCACAAAAACCATGAGGGAAAGGAGTAAGACCAGAAGACCAGGCTCTCCTAACTCTCAGCTCAACATTCTCTGCTGTCTACCCTGCCCTTCCTCCCTGTAAATTAGTGGCCACATCTGTGACACTCAGGACTCTGACTTCAGGTTTCTCTTTTTTTTTTTGTTTTGTGTTTTGAGACAGGGTTTCTCTGTGCAGTCCTGGCTGTCCTAGAACTTGCTCTGTAAACCAGGCTGACCTCAAACTCAGAGGTGTGCCAGCCTCTGCCTCCTGAGTGCTGGGACTAAAAGCGTGCACCAATGAACAGGCAACAGCAGGTCTTTTAGACTCCTACAACCCAAGCCCTTTATGCATATGCTGGTGTAGACTATATCACACTTCCTTTCTACTCTTTCCTGAACTCTTTGGAGAAGGAAATAAAGATAGGAAAGTCTTATTCCTTTTCAAAGTCAACATTTTAAAACTGGGATGTAGCTCAGCGGTACAGAACTTGCCTAGCATGTGCACGCCTTGGTTTTCTCTTTTCCTTGAGGGATTATGGTAATTAACCATCTACTCTGACATGTTTTGTGTTAATACGACACAACTATCTACCAAAGATGCACAAACTCAACCCAGTGTCTATTCCAAGATGACCTTTGACAACAACCAAATAATAGTTCACTGGAAAATAAGTCTGGGCCCAAAGAGATGACACAAAAATTAAGAGTACTGACTGCTGTTCCAGAGGTTCAGGGTTCAATTCCCAGGCTCTACATTTTGGCTTACAACTGTCTGTTCCAGGGGATCTGACACCTTCTTATGGCTTTTTTGGGAATCAGGTATACATGTGGAACACAGACATATACGTAGGCAAACACCCATACATATAAAATAAATAAAAACTTAGAAACCAAGTCTACTGCTATGGTATAATTCTTTTGTATACTGTAAAAATTTGTGCCAGGCAGTGGTGGTGCATGTCTTTAATCCCAGCACTCGGGAAGCAGAGGCAGGCCCGGTCTACAAGAGCTAGTTCTAAGACAGGCTTCAAAACTACAGAGAAACCCTGTCTTGGGGAAAAAAAAAAAAGATTTGTCATTTGTATTTGTATTGATTTAATAAAACACTGATTGGCCAATAGCCAGGCATGAGGAATAGGTGGGACTGCAGAGGAGGCAAGATGAGAAGGCCTTACTAATAAAAGGTACCAAGCCACATGGCTAAACATAGACAAGAATTATGGGTTAATTTAAATTGTAAGAGCTAGTTAATAAGCCTGAGCTAATAGGCCAATCAATTTACATATTAATATAAATCTCTGTGTGCTTCTTTGGGACAGTATGGCTGGGCTGCAAGACCGGGCAGGACAAAAATTTCCATCTACACTATGAAAACAGCAACAATTTTGCAGCTTTTACCACGTGTTATACGCTTTTGATGTGCATTATCAAATTTATATGCACACAGAACCTATGAGAAATACTCTCTTTATAGATAAAAGTTGAAGCCCAAGTTCTGTCATTTCTTCAAAGTATATACACAGCATGCAATAGAGCTGAGAATCAGATCCAAGCCTGACATCTTTTTATATTCTAACGTATGTGGTGGCACATGATTGTAACCCCAATACTCAAGAAGACTGAGGCAGGAGAATCATGAGTTTAAGATGAGCCTGGAATACACAGCAAGTTAAGGCCAGCCTGAGCTATCTAAGGACCTGTCACAAAAAACTTTTTTTCTCATCCTTACCTACTTCATCATACTCTTCCCCAGAAACCACATAATCTCGGTTAAAACAAAGACATGGTGGACATGCTGACCAAAACCTGTAATCTCAACACTCAAAGGTAAGGGCAGAAAGATGGGCTAGAGGTCAATCTGTATTACACAGTGAGACCTTGTTTCAAAAAACTAAGGGCTGGTATCTTAGTTACAATTCTATTGTTGTGAAACAAACAAACAAACAAAAAACCAAAACACCATGATCAAACAACTAATAGAAAAGGTTTTCATTTGGGACACAGGACTCCTGAGGGTGAGAGGGCATGGCCATTAGGACAGGGACCATGGCAACAGGCAGGAAGCAATGGTGCTGAGGCAGCAGCTAGAGAACTTACATCTCGAAGCACAAGAACAAGGCAGAAAGAGAGCTAACTGGGAATGGAGAGGGGCTTTTAAAACCTCAATGCTCAATCCTGGTCACCCACCTCCTAATCCTTCCCAAACAGTTACCAACTGGGGACCAAGCGTTAAAATATATGAGTCTGTGGAAACCATTCTCAAACCACCGCAGCTGGGAATGCAGCTCAGTGTACTAGGAGCTGGGTTCATTCATCGGCATTGGGGGACATGAGAAAGAATGGCATATTCATTTCATTTTTTCTATATCAAATCTGAGTGCTGAGAATGCAATGTTTTTGTTTAGTAAAGATAAAAATTGGAATCTAGGCAATAAACCCAAACATTCAAAACAGGAGAAATCATCTCAGCTTGAATCCTACTGTTGGGATTTAGTTTGATGCAAAAATGAGAATTGTGAAAATTACTAGAAAGAAAACTGAGTCAGTTGAGGGAAACTTTGACCCCCACCTGGCCCACAATGCAGCTTTTTCTGATGCAGCAGCACTCAAAGCCTCCACTCAGATGCTTAGGACAATAGCAGGACTGCCCTGTCTCTGTGACGTTACAAATTTCCTCAAGCTTTTCGGAGCAATCTCATAGGAAACAAGAGCCAAAAGCTTACAAAATGTCCCCAGCAGAGACTGTCCCAGCAGGCACCGGTGGAATGGGAGTCATGCTGGGCCCTGGCTTCCCTCTGCTTCCCCCTCTCTACTGTTTGCTGTGGCTCCCCCTCCCCACCCTGTATTAGCTGACTACTTTCCCCCCTGCTCCTGTTTCCTAGAGAATAACTCACCACAGAAACGGTTCTTCCAGCCTTCACTTGGCATCACAATCCATCACACACACCAAGGAAAGAAGCAGCAATTCCTATTTTCAACCTTCAAGGTGGGCTACTGCACACCCTTTCCAGGCAGCCAACACCCTCTCAACCTTACAGTCTTGCTCTAAAATCTATTCTATGAGTTCCACACATAAATTTAACCCATCAAGATGAATCTTTCAACAGGACAATGCTTCAATTATAGGAAGGTAACTCCTATTTTCCCCTTACCTTGCTACTTTTCCAAGGCAAACGTCCAGTATTTTAATCCTACAAGACAGACAGTGAACTTGCCTGGCCTGCTGGCACATATGCCTGTAATCCCAGCACTTGAGACAGATACAAGAAGATCAAGAGTTCAAGGCCAGGCTAGGATACATGAGTCGTAGATCAAAATCCAGGTTAGTCAAATGCCTCAGAGAGTAAAGGTGTCTGCTGCCAAGCCTGATGACCTGAGTTCAATTCCTAAAATCCATAGGGTGGAACAAAAATTGGGTTCCACGTGAGTGTGTGTACACAGACACACATTAAAAAAATAATGAATGAGTAGCCAAATTCTACAAACTCTGTATAATAGTCAGAATATTTCTTCTCCAAAAGAACATTCAGCTCTCTCAAGGATTACAACCGTCTTACAGTCAATAACTACAACCATGTAGGTTGGGTGTGGTAGCTCACACCTGTAATTCCAGCACTGGGGGGCTGAAGCAGGAAGATCATAAGTTCCAGGTTTAATACTGCAAGGCAAGCCACTTAAGTTTAGACAGTTTTCAATATAACCTACTCAATTCCAACCAATCAACAGCAAGTGCCTTCTGCTGTGCTCTTCTTATCAAAGTGACACAGGCAATGACAAAGACCATGGACTCTGACAGCAGGAGACTTAAGTTCAAACCTTGGCTCTGCCAGGATGAGAACCTGGGATGACACCGAGTCAGTCACTGAACTCCGCGGAGCCTTGGCGTCCTTATCTCCATGTCACACTCACCAAAGGTGACACATAAAGTCTGGGTGGGAAGACCAGACAACTCATGCAAAGACCTCTGGCACATTTCAAGATGATTTGAAAGGTTTCCTGTTACCAAAAAGAATTGTGTCAAGCTCTGGGCAAGGCACAGTAGTGAGAGAAACTGTGTATACTCAAGAATGGGAAGAAATTAGTCATAAACAAATATGACCTTTACATGGAAAAGGAGCTCCATCAAACCGAGAAAACATGGAACTTTAATGTGCACAGATCCAATTCTCTCCACATGTAAGCTTTTGCTATTTGTCCAACACTAGACTAGACTTTATGAAGTACACAAAAAGAAGTTAAGGTCAATAATCTTGCACTTAAACTGTATAATATGGTATATAATAAACCACCAACGGAAAGAATACAGGGCACAATTAGGTACTTCAGGACACATAGGAATGGATGGTTTCCCAGGCTCAAGCCTCGGACATGCATCTTGATTCTTTTCCATTCTTTATACCCTTATATCCCACTTGTCACCTAGTTCTGTTTTTACCTCATAATAATCTCATCTCAATCCATTCTATCCTTTATATGGGAGGTGGGCCCCTTCCTTTCTAATTCTTTTCCAGGGCTCCATCTTGCATCGACTATTTTCCAAGTATTCCATAGGTCGTTTCTATTCTAGCCTCCTTTCAATTCATTCTTCCCATTATCAATCTAATGGCTCTTCTAAAAGGTAAACTTGCCTGTTACTACTGTCCGCCTGAAATGCGGACATCATTCATCATATCATTACCACCAGCCCCATACACACCAGCATGAAAATAAAATGTTAAATGACATTGCCACAAATAACTCCTGTGGGTGAAATTACCTTGTAGTGGAAAAGCACTTATATCAGAGTAAAGTCCATTTTCATTTGTGTGATCCCCTCAACTATCTCACCTCCCCATCTTCCTAACTTAATTACAATAATCCCTCCACATAGGGCACCGAGCACTCTGTACATCTCACAACCCGTCTTCTCTGCAAACTTTGCCCAGGCTGTTGCCTCTACCCTGCTTTATCTTTGAACCTCACGTGAACTTCTCTGCTCAGATCAGAATGAAGATCCCC